CTGGTTTGGACATGTCCTGTAGCTAGAAGACACTGGGAAGCTTTTGTAGAGATGTGGGGATGCGAGGACGTAAGTGACACTAGGAGTTGGGTCTTCAGTCGTCAGAGCATTGACGCAATTTTTGGTCTTACCCTAGCGAATCTCCCGGTGGACATATTGAAATGGGGGCAAAGTCACAATGAAGCAGCATGGGAGGTGTTGCATGATACGTCAACCGCGTTGTGGGCAATTGGATGTGCAATCATTGTAACAACGTTGTGGCGAAGGAGGATTGAGGATATACATCCCACGGCTAAGACCCAGCAAAGCGTGGTGGGGTCAATTGCTGTCACCAGACGAGGGGTTTTGGAAGCCTACAGATGATATCAATTGAGGCTGCTGCCGCTTGTACCAACGAGAATGGAGGAATTAAACGTGGTTGAATATCTCATAGACCGATGTAGACACAGAAACGTTACTGCGGTGGTGGACAGTTTGGTGAAGGTGACTAGAGTCGGTTTCTTCCAAGGAGGGTCAAGGGGTAATTCTGGTCAAGGTGGCAGCGGCAGTGTGATAGTAGAATATGATGAAGACAGGAAGGAGATGACCTCTGTGTGGGCAGCAGCCACAGCTCTGGGAAAACATCACATCACCAACAATGTAGCGGTTTTTGTGGGTCTACAGAGGATGTTGGCGCACGCGTGGGAAAAGAAATGGACCAAATTGCACGTGGTTGGAGATAGTGCTCTGGTGCTGGGCATGATGTCCCAGCGGAGAAGACCGAAAGCCACCACGTTGTTACACTGGTTTCAAATCACACGCCGACTGGCTGATCTGTGCGAAGTAGTGAGTTGGACTCATCATTGCCGGAGGCACAATAAGGCGGCAGGTTGGTTAGCAAATTTGGCAATAGATCGGGGACAAAGTTACATGACGTCTACTGAAGAGGGAAAGTTAGCAGCTCCGATTGCGGTGGGACTGGAACAGCTCCTAAATGGTGATTTCAGTCGTTGGTTAAATCGGCAGCGTACTGGGGAAGGATAAGTATGCGGACTCACAGAGTAGCGAGAAGAGTCGTGACACTGACAA